GTTGGTGGTGAGGTATAAATGTTGGATATCCACTTTAGGCCTGATTTACACATTTGCATTGCAGTTACATGTGTGGCAACCCACTTATTGCATGTCGTTGCGCTGCAGTGCCATTCAATATAAATTGAAGATGCCATAAGATGTACTTCCTTAATGCATGGACACAATTTCACTAAGGCCTTGTTCACACCAAGTGTGTTCCAGGAGCAGAGCAGTTACAGAACGGATCAAAACTGCGTCCAATGTATTCCAATGGTATGTTGGGCTCCAGTTCACACCGCAGCGTTCAGTACCAGAGCATGTAAAAAAACTGCAGCATGCCCTATTTTACCTGCTCTGGAACACTCTGGAAGACATGCAAACGCATCAAAAGCGCATGCAAACAGCCTGGAACGCGCTAAAAGCCCATTCTAAACTAAAACCGAATACCCGGAACGCATCAAAAACGCGGCAAAAACACAGCACATCCCACTGCACTGAATGTTCAGAAACTCATGCAGATCTGGTCTGCATTTGGTGTGAACAAGCCCTTAGCCTTGTGAGTATGCACTTTCTTGTGTCAGAACTCTCACAGAGCCTGCTGTCCAAACTACAACTCAACGTCTAAACAATGTAGCATTATCATTGCTTGCTGGAAGAAATGCATGATGGTATTTTTTTTAGAAACAGAGATTGCATCACATCAAGCAGCAGAGAAAAAGATGCAAAGCACACAGGGCAGACAGAAGGCAGCACTCACTACAGAAAAGGGATTTTTCCAGTAAGCTTTGATTACATTATCAAAAACAACCCTAGAATGTATCCCTATTAATGTGGCCATACACTCTACAACCCTCGCAAAACTTTTGTCTTGCGATGGTTGTAAAGTACTTAAAAAAACGTACGATCTGCCTATCTTGGACAGGCAGATCGAACCTGCGATCATCGCAAGCCCGCCCCCCTGAGAGGCGGGCTTCCGATGACTGCAATGCTGAACGGGCAGTGTGCGCGTGCGCACACCGGCCCGTTCGGCAGTGATCTCTCGATTATGTTAAAAACCAGCCAAAAATCGTATGATTCTCGCCTGGTTTTCCAACATGCTCGATATACAAAAGTCGTGCTACCGTACATTAGAAACGGTCGCACGCCTTCCATACACTGCACGATTCTCGTACGATCGCGGGATTTCCCGCGATTCTCGTACGAGAATCGTGCAGTGTATGGGCACCTTTACAATGCTGATGTTATAACAGGATAGTATATGCTGGGACTTGAGAACTCCTTTAATCCATCTCTGCAGGAAGCCTACTTTAGGCAGCATAGCATGTGACAATAGTAGAAACAGTCCTTATGTACATAGCCGACATGGGCCACTGGTTATTCCACTGTTGATGGATTTAGCATAATGGAAAAGCATACTTTAACCCCTTCGTGACTGCCGTTTCACGGTCGCACGCAATCTGTAAACTGGGCATGTTGGGTATCGTTTTACTCGTTGTAACCTCATCTTTTATATTTCATTAAAAAAATGGGTAATTTGTTGTGTTTTGGGGCATTTAATTAAATTTGTCACTAAATTTTGGGGTTTAATAAGGAGTTGCGCTAATATTGCGCAACATAAACATTTTCAACTACCACCATTTTATTCTATAGGGTCTTGGCATTCAGAAAATATATAATGTTGGGGGGTTTTACGTCATTTTCAGGCCTAAAATGTGGAATATAACATGGGTGCAAAAATTGAAAAAAGGGCCTCAGTCATGAAGGGGTTAAAAAACAAACTCATTTCTTAAGACACTGCCATTAAAGCAGCCAGAAAGTTGCAATGAAATTCATATAGAGTCTAGTAGGGATGTGCCGATACTAGTATCGATATCAGTGCCGATACAGGGCATTTTCAGGAGTACCTGTACTCCTGAAAATGCCCCGATTCTTAAGGCTGATACCGGCCCTCTAAATTTTTAAACAAGTTTGGCTGCCTAAGGTCCCGCGCTTGCTGGGGGCTTTAGACAGCCTGCTGGGGACCTCACCGTAGCTGTCTTTGACAGCGCCGGTCTGATCCCACATCTCCTGCTCATCCTTTCCGGCACCCACAGAGAAAGGCTCTGCAAAGGACAGCCCCACACTGCCTTACAGCCCTGGAGTCTGGCATGAGAACATTGGCACCCACCCGCAGAGCCTGGCACCTGTCCGCACCCCCCAGAGAGCCCTGCACCCACTTGCAGAGCCCAGCACCCACCTGCAACACCCGGAGAGCCCTGCACCCACCTGCAGAACCTGGAATCCACCTGCATGCTGGGTGCCGGAGAGCCCGGCACCCAGCATGAGCCCTGGTGAGACCCAAACGCAAGTCCTTATAACTACTGTATCATTAGGGATTGATGGGATCAATGATTATACAGCAATAGAGAATGGCAACTGGCTATAGAGGACTACAAATCTCAGAAATCCATGATTGCTGGTTGCCATTCTCCATTGCTGTATTATCATGGATTGATGGGATCTGTAGTCATCTATTGCTGGTTGCCATTCTTCATTGCTGAATACTCACGGACTGAGTTACAGTCATAATTATAAAGAAAGTGCCCTAAAATCATTAGTCTGTATTGTTTTATTGTTTTTCATTAGTCTGTCACATGGACTTGTAAGGAAAAGTATTGGTAATTGGTATCGGCGAGTACCTGAGGGGAAGTACTTGGTCTTAAAAAAGTGGTATCAGGACATCCCTAGAGTCTAGACAATGGAGGACATTTGGTAATGTAAGATCCTTACCAGTTTATTTTCGTATTAAAAGTGTATCACAACTTTGTGTAAGGTATGTGTACATTATAAGTTTCACTTGATGTCCTTGATATTTTTTTTGAATCCAGCAAATGCCTGTATGATGAATGTATGGCCCCCTGCTGCACTCCACTAAAGCCAATGCCTATAACTGTTTAACAAATCTGTCAGGTTTGATTCTGCAGCTAGAGACTAACTGCCAGTGGCAGGATCTCTAAAGAGCCTGCCTATCTGTCCCTATGGAATTGCTCCCTCTGTAGCTGGATGCAGTGTGATGTTACTCTGTCGCTGGCAATGCACTTTGCATTGAATGTCAACATGTCATAACGCACAACCATTATGTGCAATGACAAGCATTTTAATGTGTTTCCATTCATTTCAACAGAAAACACATCTGCCCAAAACGGAAACTTGTGAATGGGCTCTAAAGAATAACTGAGGAGGGGTTTCCACTGAAGACTGCCACTTAAAAAAAAATATTAAATAAAGCAGCTACACCTGTAAAGAGCAATCACCTAGACGTGACTGCACATACCTGCAGCAACTTTCATTGCCTGCCGCCGGTCAGTCTCAGTAGCTAAATAAATGCATCTTTGTACAGGCAGACATTGTTTTCCGATACAACTCACCCTAAAGGAAAGCCCCCCATTGGTTTACATTCCGCCTCCACAGAGAAGGTCACGCAGCTTGAGCAGATCGCAGCATAGATATTGGCTGCTCCTCAATTTTATTTGCTAGTTAAAAGTCGATGTGCTCTCACAGACCCCTAAGTCACCAGTAATTCTTTTTGTTGTTCTACAACCTGTAATTCTGCCACGGGGGAGGCAAAGCTACTTGCATCCCTAAGAATAACAAATGTGTTTGCTGACATACAAGTTTACGCCAGCAGAATAGGAAATGCCAAATTATTAGGAAAGTCCTACTCACCTATGTGTATAGGAAACCTGTCTAACAACTACAGTCTGATCCAAGTTCCAACCTTAAGGTGCCCATACACCTTACAATTATCGTACGATAATCGTATGCGATCGACTTTTCGTACGACAATCGTAACGTGTGAATAGAGTGCCCGACCGATAGTACTGTACAATCGTACGACTTTTGACGGTCAAGCATGTTTGAAAACTTTGGTTGATCGTACGATGTTCGCATGGTTGGTGGCGTTTCCGTCCGTCAAAAGTCGTACGATTAACACTGCGCATGCGCAAACGCAAATAATTGCGGTCAATTACCGCAAGTCGTCCAGGTGTTTTTTTCTAACTACCGCTGATTGAACCTTGCGATAATCGGGGCAGGATGGGGCCGTCGTACGAAAATCGTACGACGGTTTGATCATCGGACAAAAAGTTTCGTCCGATAATCGTAAGGTGTATGGGCACCTTAACACTGCAACACATCATCAGGAAGTGCAGAGATCCCACATTCGGGGATCCAGAGAAAAATGGGGTGTCTGATTTACATTTAATGAGCCGACTACATCTGAAAGTACAACACACCAACGATGATCTGTTGTGGTGCGTTAATAAGCATTCTTGCACACATTACTTTGTTTGGTTAAAGGCAGCTCATTCATTATTAAGGAGCTGCCAACGCATAACAGACGGAAAAACATGAATTTTCAAAACGCAGAGCATCATAAAGCATGGTTTGCGCATTGTGGTGTGTAGTGACTTGCACTCTACTGTACAGTGCATTGGGGTGCCATTCATAATGCTTCGCACATAGAACAGGTGCATTGGTATGTGTTGATCCAGAGCACAAGAGTCCTAAAGTAAACGTCGAGTCTACCATCGCAAAAAAAAAAGTCCCTGACTTCCATGTTTTCTGAGACACTGACATGAAACACACATCTAAATCACAAAAGTTAGAGCTCTGAACCTGTGTATTCAATTGAGGTCAGTGGCTCAGAAGTGAGAGAAGACACAGGACCAGCATAACAGTAAGGGTACCATAGAGGTCAGCAGTGACAGCCTCCATAGTACCTCACTAATTCCTTAATAAATGTACAAAATGCTTGTCAAATTATTTTTGTAACACAAGTAACATATCAAAGGGACCTTGCACTAAAATGTAAGGTCTGCTTATTGCATGGTACCCTCCTCCCCCATCTTCAGCCACACGTAAAAGAAAAGCACATTATATGTGTAGAAAATGGATAATGAAGGACTATTTCTGGTTGTAAGGATGATTATGGAATCCTGATTGTTAAGGATGATGGACTATTTCTGCTTGGTAAGGATAATAAAGGACTATTCCTGAATGGTAAGGATATTAAAGATCTATTTATGGGCGATAAGGTTGATGAAGGACTATTCCTGGATGGTAAAGATGATAATTGACTATTCTAATTGGTAAGGATGATGAAAGGCTATTTCTGGTTGGTAATGAAGTTAAAGGGCTATTTCTGGGTGGTAAGTATAATAAAGGACTATTCTGGTTGCTAAGGATGATGAATGGAATATTATTGGATGGTAAAGATGATAATGGACTATTTCTGGATGGCAAGGATGATGAAAGGCTATTTCTGGATGGTAAGGAAGATAATGGACTATTTCTGGTTCTTAATGACGACGATAGACTATTTCTGGATGATAATGGACTATTCCTGGATAGTAGAGTGATAATGGACTATTCCTGGATGGTAGGGATAATAAAGAACTATTTATGGGTGGTAAGGATGATAATGGACTATTCCTGGTTGATAAGGATGATGGACTATTTCTGTTTGGTAAGGATAATGAAGGACTATTTCTGGTAGGCAGGGGTTGCTTGGTATTACGATTTATTAGGTGAGCCCAGAAGAGTACAATCTTCACAAACATCCTGAATCATTTCCTATGCACACAGAAGGAAATTGCTGAAACCACCGTCTACGCTGGAAATAATGCTGACATGCAAGTCACACAAGGCAGCCACGTTCTCCATGTAATATATAGTTTCTACATGTCCCCCACCATAGTAAATACTATATACATGCAAATTCCTTTACCATGGATGATAAAACTAAGCAGTCTCGTAGCCAGCAGTATATGACAGCCGTGACACACAGGGTTAATGAGACGGTGCCCCAGCTCCACTAACAGCATCCCCTCACAGTGTGTATGAGTGCAGAGCCAGGCGGTGTACACAGGTATGCAAGGGGAAGGGGTGGGGGGTCAGTACCTGGTTATGCTCTGGCAGCCCCGGGCCTCCTCTCTGCCACAGTCACGTGCCACCGACAGGGGCGGGCTCGGCAGACACATAACGCGTCGCCCTTACTCTAGCACTACCCACGTGACAGTGTCAGCGAGGCCGCTTCTGCCATGTTTGGTCTGGGTAATACAATGTAAAGTGTGTTATAGTAAAAAAATATATATGTGAATGAAACACAACCGTTTCCTATTTTAGTGAACAGTCCGTTATGTATTTATTTACAATGAAACAGTATCTTGCAAACCGATTAGTACCCCTAACATACTGTCCACGCTACGGACCCGCAGCTGAGCTGTCACTTCCGGCCGAGGCGCGGGGCATTGTGGGAGGTGCTGGTAATGGCTCAGGTTGGTGGCCGACCAGTGGCAATGGGGCAGGACTGCGATCTCTTCTTGCACCCAGAGCTGCTTTCCAGGGATTTCTTGCTGCTGTCTCTAGGGCAGGTGAGATCGACTTTCTGCAAGCTAGTGACTGTTGTGTCATACTCTTAATAATTGCCATATGTCTCCAATGTGGAACCAAATCCCAATTGTCCCTCTTTCCTCCCCAGCTGTCCCTCTTTTCCGTTTGATGTACATAGAATATAGATTCATGGAAGCATATACTTTTTATCTACCAGAGCTCTAATACTGCACTAAACCGTTCATCCAACCATTCAATGATTGCACTTGTTATTGGCAAGACAAGTAGTGAAAAGAGCACTTCTGGATTTACTAATCGTTTGTATTCATTCTTCATGATCTGCATGACTGGGATGTGTCCTTTGCCTGCCAGCTCAAAGGTTTTCTCATCTCAGAAACCTGGAAGGAGTGATAATGCTATGTACATAGATGTAGCCCAGAGCAGCTGCTTTGCCACATTGCATTTCTAGAATCCCTTACAGGTATGTTATCATAAGCAATATTGTTGCGTGTGACTCACGTGTGTGTGTGTGTGTGTGTGTGTATATATATATATATATATACACACACACACACACATACACACATACTGGAGAAAATTTCGCAAAACTGGAGCAAACAGAATCTGGAGCAGTTGCCCAGGGCAACCTATCATTATCTCTCTTCAGTTTGCTCAGGTAAGATTTGAGAGAGAGAAGCTGATTGACTGCAGTGCAAATCTGCTCCAGTTTTGATAAATTCCCCCCACTGTATATATAATATATCCAGTTCACCACATAAGCAGTCTAAACCTTCAAGTTTTTGTTCCACTTTTGCAGCCAAATTGGGATAACACCTATTTTATATTTGTTACATGTTCCCATTCACATAGCACAGCTTAAACAAAAAAATAAATACAAATTGCTGCTTACATATAGCTTCTTTACTAATATCACTCATTAACTCTAAACCTAATTTTCCTCTGGAATGCAAGGGTGCTGGGGAGTTTACTATAAGTAACCCTGTCTGTACAGTGCGGGCAGATCTTTTTTATCAGTTGTAAACTAGATTTGAACATTGTCTTCATTGTATGTAACAATTGGCACAGCCAGAGTTTCCTGTCACTTTGAAATTGTACAGAGAAGCCTGTAGTCTGTGCTAAGACCAGCTAAGCAGAGACATCTAAATGGTAAGAAATATTTTTTGATATTCTGTGTGAATAGGAACACATAACACATACTGTATAATGGGGGGTTTCTCAAATTTGGCTGCAAAAGCGGAAGTACTGTGTAAGCAGCGGATTATTTTGTAGTAACCACAAGCATGAAAAAATAGTGAGATCTTACTAAGTTGGTATTGTAAATATAAAAAAACAGCATGGAAGTTAGTACATATTTGCTTTGCACACAGCAAACCCAACCTTTAGAGGAAGTTGCTCATGCGTAACTCGATATAAGGGTTGGCAAGGCTCTGGCTTTGTGTCTTGGAGCTGGCTTGATTTGCAGCTGCTCCTCCTAATTCCAAAGAACTGACAGGCATTTTAAAATAACATAGGTCAGTATGCTGTGATTTTTCTGTAAGCAAAAACTAGTGTATTTGAATTAACAGTCGGAAAAAGCTAATAGTGTGCACGTGTGTGCAACACCTCCAAGTGTGTTAATTTCACTTCTATTGTGCAAGTAACTCCCACTTCCAAGGGTGTAGTAACTGAAAATAGGAATATATGGAGATGGAAAGCTATTGCTCTCAAGATTTACTATCTTGTATGAGACAGGTGAACAAATTAATATTGAATCCAAGAGCCAGCTCCTTTGACAACAACAACTAGAGAAAACCTTAAGGCCCCATTCACACGTAGCGATTTCGCGAGAAGTCGCCGGCTAATGATATTCAATGTAGCTGTCTTAGCTCCAAGTCGTTCGTCGCGGTCGCAAGTCGCTTCTACGGGACCCCTTGCTTTTTTCTAATGGAGCCCGACTGAGAAGGTCGCGCTACCGTCGCTGGAACGTCGCCCCGAAAGTCGCGATATCCCGGCCGCTGCAAAAGGTATGTCGCTACGTGTGAATGGGAGTGATTTATCGAGCGATTTTTGCAGCGATATCGCTCATATTTCCACGTGATATCGCTCTATGTAGCTTCTCCAATCCATTTCAATGGAGCTGTTCACATCTCGCCGCTCAATATCGCTTGTAGCTCGTCGCTCCTACATGACCCTTTTTCCGAGCGATTTTGCTCCTGATTGCATACAGCCCAATAGGAAAAAGTCGCGCAATATCGCAAGTCGCTCAGTGTGAATGGGGCCTAAAAGTTAGATGCCAGCTGTCATTTTTAACCACTTCATGTCCAGAGCAATTTCTTAATTTTTGCACACACGTTAAAATTAGAGATATACTGATACTAGTATCGGTGGTGCCGATACTGGTATCAGTATTGGTGGTGCCGATACCGAGTATTTGAGTACTCGTACTCGCCCAAATGCTCCCATATTTATCCGGATACCAGAACTTCCGGGATCCAGAAGCCAAACGGCGAGTCATTACATGCCGCTCGGCTTCCTGATTGACCAGAAAGCCGGCTCCATGCTCCCTCGCCATCAACCTGGTGACGAGGGAGCATAGAGCCGGCTTCCCGCCTAATCAGGAAGCTGGCCAGTGAGTCATTACATGCCACCCGGCTTCCTTAATGGGACTTCCGGCTTCAGCTTCTTTTGGGGTCCCAGCTTCTTTTGGGGTCCCCAGGTGACAGGGGTCTTAGAGACCCCTAATGTCTCCATAAAGAGGACCCGTCAGTGTGCCTTTGCTATTATATAGGGGATTTTTATACCCCTATGTAATGGCAATGGCATTAAGTGTAAAAAAACATAAAAAAAAAGTTTAAAAACAAAAATCTTTAAGTTCCCCACCCCCACGTTTACGCACATTTAAACGTAAATACGCGTCCGGTGCACCAGCGCGCGAAAACGACAATTGTGCTACACACGTTACCTATCGCCGCGAATGTCGCAGTGAGAGCAATAATTTTAGGGCCACCAATCACTGATAACACTAAACTGATGAGAGGTAAAAGCTTTTAAAGCGTCGCCTGTGGCCAATTTTGGGTATTATAGTTTTTTGTGGTTTCGTGCGCGCATGCAATTTTAAGGCTTGACATGTTTGGTGTCTTTTTACCCGACGTGACCCCGCCTTTTATATTTTACCAACAAATTGGGTAATGTTTTATCATTTAATATAGGGGAAACTGTTTGTTTTTTTTAATTCGGTAATTTTTCCTTTTAATATAGTAAAAAATTAAAACCCCAGTGGTGATTAAATACCACCAAAAGAAAGCTCTATCTGTCCCCAAAAAAGGGTATAAAATGTATTTCAGTACAGCGTTGCATGACGGAATAAATGTCAAAGTACCGCAGCGCTGAATACTGAAAAATGGCCTGGATGGGAAGGGGGTTTAACACCGCGGACTTTAAGTGGTTAAAATGCAATAGCCTATAGCAGACTGTCTATTGTACCAGCCCACTGCCTGCTGTCAATCAGCAGAGGAGGACCTGATGGAGAATTTGTAGCGTGTAACATTTCATGCCAAATTTTATACTTTTGTACTTGATAGGGGGTTAAACTATGTGTACAGGATCTTTTTGTGCTGTACTTTATTACAAACCTACTTACAACCAATAAAAATGTATTGCAACAGAAACTCACCCCAGCCATCCTACACTCAACAGGCATATTTATTAGTCATGTAGTAGGGACATATTGCATCCTTTTCGTGCCACTGAAGTTCCTGTCATGGAGCTTACATTGTATTGTCCCTGCCACCACCAACTATATATCTCTCATACTTATGGTTTGGCCAATTGACCTTCTGTGTTGTTGGATTTTGGGCAGAAACCACAACAACGGAAGAAAACTCCCACAAAAATAGGAATATTGTTTAAATTGAATTGCTAATGTTGCAGGTTTATTTTGTTATTTGTTTACTGTATTTCTCCTTTCAGCATACTATATAGCATTTACAGAGTACATCAGTCCAGTCACAGCAGTCTTTTTCCAAAAGGACCTAACAGCCCAATGGCCCTATGATTTTGTAATAGTTCCTATTATTCATCAAATGCATTTCCTTAAAGTAGTATCAAACTCATACACTTTTTTTTTTTCAATAATGAATCCAGATCAAACAGATATACACAGGCCAGGAAAGTATTTATTTATATTTTTGTACAAGCACTTAAAGTCTTCATATTTCCAAACAGCTCCAAATATGTCAGTTCTGCTTCCCTGAACCTCTTGTCCAGTACAAGATCACAAGGGAGAGCACAGTCTTCAGCTTCTGTCCATCTACTAGCTTGAGGAGGGAGGAGAGGAAAGCAGGGCAGTGTTTTGCCCTTGCTATACCTGTGTGTTTGTGGAGACACACACAGCTTACTAGCACACACAAGGGTGGCTCCGTAGGACCCTGCAAGGAAAAGGAGCCACCCTAAAGCAGAATATCAGGACCCAGTGCTCGGTGGACCAGCTGATTCTGCAGGAAACTAGAACTTTTAAAAATCAATGAGCAGCATTCATTGTAAGTGGTTTCATCAGCATTTTGAAATAGATTAAAAAAAAAAAATTTAACATGTTTTTAATCTCCAATATCATTTGAAGATGAAACCCAGACAAAAATGTAAACCCACCAAGTACAAGTTCCACACAGTGATAAAAGGTTTTTCTCTCATGATAAACTGTATTTGCTTTAATTTTAAGAAAGCAGTCCAGGAGATTGCAGAAACTATTTGCCTGCTTGTAGTGCCCTCCCACAGATGAGCATTGTTTGAGTTTTGCTGCACTAAATCATCTGACCTCCAAACAAGACTGTAAATCAACCACTAAACTACACTTTCATTCATATACTTTCATTGTACATATGTTAGAGGCCTATAAACCTTTCTTCTTCTTTTTTTTTTTTGTCAATGTAGCCTTGGAACATTGTGTTATGAATTGTCACTGTGTATTTCCCCAATCATCTTCCAGGACAGCCAATGAGAGAAGGCTCCGCCTGCCTGCAACAGGAAACACATCAACCACATTAAATAAAAAGGCACTTGCTTCCACCCCAATTCAGTTTTTTTGTCTTTCCTCCAGCTACACAGGGAAGGGAACAGAGCCACTAAAAGCACGATAGCAAGGTGGATTAAAATGGCCATAGCTGAGAATTACAAAGCGCAGGGTATAGTGTTACCAGGTACGCTCACAGCACACTCAAACAGAGCATGGGCGACTTCATGGGCAGAGCGAGCAGGGGCTACTCCAGACCAGATCTGCAGAGCAGCCACTTGGTCCAGTTTCCAAACCTTCGTCAGGCATTACAGACTGGACCTTATGACGCAACAGGACCAGGCATTTGGCAGGAAGGTCCTGCAAGCTGTTGTCCCACCCTAAGAGGTGAGATTTGTCCTCACTGATCCTCTCATTGGCTGTCCTGGAAGATGACTGGGGAAAACATGAGTTGATTACCTGATAACTCTGTTTCCAGGAATCTTCCAGGACAGCAGATTCCCTCCCTTGGTTAGTATCCGGGGGACGTCCGTTGTTGGATGACAGAGGGATACTATGGTACATTTGGTAGCCTTCGGTCCTAGAGGGTACTGAATTGGGGTGGAAGGAAGTGCCTTTTTATTTAATGTGGTTGATGTGTTTCCTGCCGCAGGCAGGCGGAGCCTTCTCTCATTGGCTGTCCTGGAAGATTCCTGGAAACAGTGTTATCAGGTAATCAACTCATGTTTTTGTTGATACAGAAAAATATCGTAGTGGAAGATTCTGTGAATGACAAGGAGAAACTAACTGAAATATTTGTCCAGCATGCCATGCCCCTTCCTCAAAGAGTTTTGCCCAAGAGTCGGTGGGGTAAAATGATGGAAGGTAAAAGAGAAGTAAAAAAGCACACACAGCCTCAGCAAAGGTATGGCATCTTTTACCTGATTGGTAATATAGATTATATATTGGTAATAGCTCTATAGTCTCCATTTAAATATTATTAATCCTCGCACACATCTATTGTGAAAGATTAGAGCTGTTTTCTAACATGTGGGGCTTTCTGCAGCCTTATATGCATACTTGGAGCCCCATGGGCATTTAGTAATTGGAAACTGAAAGGTGCTGCACATGTGTCTCAGGGAAAATGTTAGCGAAAGTGCCTGTATCAGGGACAGCTGTGTACAGAGATGGTCAGTTTACACAAACCAATACCCCCAGGCCGGATTTTAGAGGATTGGGCACGGGTTAGGAGTGGGGTGCCCCAGGGGTCAGTCCTGTGACCGATTCTGTTCATCTTATTCATCCACGACATAGAGACTGGACTACATAGCTGAATTTTTTGTTTTTTGCGGATGATACTGAACTATGCAGAGCAGTAAACTTTGAAGGGAGATATTCGCACTACAACAGGACCTTAGCAAAATTGAGGCATGCAATAGTAAGCAATGCCAAGCAGCAGCCAGTAAAGCTAACAAGACACTGGCGTGTATTAAAAGAGGAATTGTAGCAAGGGGTCAAAGAGTAATACTTCCACTTTAAAAAGCATTGGTTTGGCCTCATCTTGAGTATGCGGTTCAGCTCTGGTCGCCGACTCCCAGGAGGGACATCCTGGAACTGGAGAGAGTTCAGAGAAGGGCTACAAAAGGGATAGAAGGCCTGAGTTATGAAGACTGTATTCATAAATCTTAACTTATTCACCGTAGAAAAGAGGCAAATAAGAGGGGACCTTATTGCAGTCTTCAAAATCATCAATGTGGACCACAATATTAGAAACATACTGTTTAATCCGAAAACTTTTTTGAGAAGCCGTGGACACAACAAGAGGTTAGAAGAGAAGGAGTTCAATCTTAGAATTTGGTAGGGGGTATTTCACAGTGAGACTAGTGAAAGTTTGGAATTCCCTCCCACAGGCGATGGTATCTGCTGATAACATTGATAAATTCAAGAAACTACTGAATGAGTTTCTTCTCTCGCTGAATCTACAGGGATATGGGAAGTTTTAAAGCCAGATAAATACACACACACTCACATACATAGGTTGGACTGGATGGACCTTGGTCTTTAATCAACCTTACATACTATGTTAAAATGACACATAATGCAGAATGGTTGCTAACCCCAGCTATAGGGTGTCACTTGACTGGCAGCTCTCACAGGGTCTGCGGGAGATGCTGACCTCACATCTGAGATGACGGCTCCCAGCAGCAGTCTCGGGGGTTTTGAATATCTACACAAGTGGGGCTTTTACAGGTTAATAACATGCATAAAGTATGTTAAATGCACAGATAATCTTATGAGAAGGTTGTTGTTGAAATGAATGGTCTGGCAATGGGCTCTCTTTAAGTATTATTGCATGTAACTAATTTTTAAAGAAGATTTCTAGAAGTAACTAGAAGTTAAGTTTCTTTTCTCTTTTAATTTTTTTTATTTTTTTTCCCCTTTATCTAAAAAAGTTATTTTAGTTGCATCGCAGAAAGTGGGCGAAAACGACCTCTCATAGTGTTTGATGGCAGCTCTACTAACACTAGCATAAAAGTGAAAAGGAAAGAAAATGGAGAGACAGCCCAGAGACTTCATCCCTTGCATACAGAAAAAGCAAACAATACTATCCGAACAGGACAACCAACCAGCCCCGTGTCCAACCCTTGTTCTCCTCCTGCTAAAGTAGTCAACAGTGATAACAATGGACAGCAGGACAGTGGCCCAGGGAGCAATGCATCAACAGGCAAAGTAAAAACACAGACATCTCCAAGTGCAAGTGCAAGCGCTGTCAAAATAAAAAGGGCTGCTCCAAAGGAGGACTCTGATGTGACAGTAAGTATCTGAGGTTCTAAGTCCATTGCTTAAAGTGTCTGGTTAAAGAATTGTTGTTTATAGCAACCAGTCATGGAAAGTTGAAATTAAGATTTTGTTGCTATAGATATCGGGAATTGTTTTCTTTTTAGATACTTTTATTGTCCCCTACAATGTTTTATTCTTAAGATATATTAAATCGTGTCAAAAAGATGTTCTGATATCTAGTGTATGGGGAGCTATCAGTCATTATGATTGACAGCTGCCAACTAAAATGTGTATGCTAATACAGTATATGATTCTTTGTTAAACAAAGTCTAATACTTGAATGGTCAGTAGCAGATATGTGACAATAAAAGGAACTTCTGGAAGTACAGTTGAAATGTGACCGCTTCCATTATTGACGTTTTTGAAGGTGCACAGGCCATGGTCCACTTGCCTGGCATAGGCACATGTCTATCAGGTGTCTAGATACCTGCCTGATATTCATAGGTTTACCCGAAGACTAAGTAGTAAAGCCATGATTAAAATGGCACACGTAGAGCTTGCACCTTTAAAAACAGTTATCGTTCAGCCCCCCTCCCCCCAAAAAAACCAGAACCAGCTGATTGCTTTTATTAAAGAGAGCAGTTGTTATGAAAACTCTTAAAGTATCCATGTGACTATGCAAGGCAAAAGTAGCACAAGTGAAATGATTTTAGGATCATGTGCACTGGTATTCTTTAAAGCCCAACTCTGGGCAAGTTTAAAATTATGGTTCCCTAGGAGATATGAAATTAGGGGGAAAAAACAGCTCTGGCTACAATACTCACCTCCTCCCTAGCACTGTCCTCCTTAGTAATGTTCTATCATAAACATGTTAAATATTAGGGATGCACTGATACTAGTATTGGTATCTGTGCCGATACAAGTATTTGGGCGAGTACTCGTACTTGCCCAAATGATCCGAAACTTACCCCGATACCGGAACCTCCGGTCAGAGGGAGACTTCCTATGACCGGCAGTGCCACGAGGGAACATGGAGCCGGCTTCCCGGCTGGTCCCCACACCAAATCCAACAAGCAAAGCACACAATGTCCTGGGATTTTTTTGTGTTTGTACTGTGTAAAGCCCTTCCATGTGCACCTTACTTCAAAAACTATATAGTACTAGCTGCCAGCTTGATTGATAAAACCACAAGTCAGTTTACCTATTCAAACAGAGATGCAAGTGGCATGAACTGTCATAATTATCCACTAACCCATGTAACTAAACCAGACAAGATCCTATCTTTTTGACTTCCTCATTATTGAATATGTCTACTGGTGAGCAGTTGCTGCTTGTTATGTAAAACAATTGTTCAATTTTCTTTCTTCCAGAGTGATGTGAAACCTTCGGAAGCAAAGAAGAGGATTATGCATGTTACATGGCCTTGATTTTTACTCAATGCAGTGTGACTTCTTTGAAAAGGACTTGGTAAACAGCACACTGGGATGTTTAGATATACTCCCTTTGCTTATAACCTCACTTTACTGTTGTCAACACTGTAGGAAATTCAGACTTTTTGGTCCTGGATCAGAGAAAGCTGTTTGTCGACACAGAGACATTACCGGACCAGGGACGCGCATCTTCACATAGATGACATATTAATTTGTATACATTTCAGAGCTTTTAGATTTTGTGTGATTGTTTGTTCCTGGTGTTTGAGACTTTCTGGAAAACCATACAGAGTAGAAATATTTTGTGTTGGGATTCACTACATTATTTTTATATTCTAAAGGGTTTTTGATTGCTGTGATATGTGTACTCCTTCCGTTGCAACCTTTTGGGTTTTTCCAAGATTATGATGACTTGGATAGGGTAATATGCCATATTCTAATAGGGCCATCTACAGATCTTGTTGCCCTTTGATTACATTGTCTTCAAATGCAAACCTTCTGTCTTTCTACTCAGCAGTGTCTTCTGATGCCTCACCTAGCTCTGGAGCATTATAATAATCTTTTTCCAGTTGGAACAACCCTTGAAGTATTGTCCAGTAGAGATGGTTATTTAACTTTTTTATCTTTGTGAAAATAATGCACTGATTTAAAGATTTTACTTTCACTTGTATTACAGGCTGAACGTGCCAATTGCAGTCAATGCTTCAAATTGAAGTTGGCTTTGATGGGTACTCGCAGTAGATTTTCGTGACTAAAGTAAATGTTTCATAGGAGATTTTTTAATAATGACTTGTATCTTGGAAAGCTTCTTGTAAATTTACATTTTATCAGGTTAAGGGAGCTTGGATTTTCTTTTCGGTTAGCTGCAGATGTATCTGCACTGAATTATCAGTCCCTACCAGCAGATGAGATTTTTTTTTTTCCAGATGTGGTTGGGGAAGTGGGCTAATGGTTATATTTGTTTTGGCCACAGCAGAGGAAGTGACATGATGCAGGTTAGTTTTGTTTCCTGATCCAGTCCACATTTGTGGAACATGGTTTTCTTTCCAATGCATCTAAAATGAAATGCTAGCTCTCTGTCCATGTCCGTAAATTCTCCATTGCCTGAACTGTAGCTGGACCACTATGTTATCTGATTTTGGAAGAGGTAGAATTGACTGGAATCTCCAGAAGTAATATCAGACTGCAGAAGGAGCACAAACTTGGCCAGTAGACGGATTGGCCTTTGGAAATTACTTGTTTCCTTGCTGTAATATTGTGTTTGTTTTTTTGGGGGGATAGCCAATATATTTGACTAACTTTATGCTCCAGGGCGTAAACATGCAACAGTTTTACTATATGTAAGAATGCTCTTCATTGTGGTTTAATCAAGGAGGTCTTCCAGTATTTTCATGAGAAAAATATGAATAAAGCCTGCTGCTGTTAGAAATTTTGTTTGTGTGTTAATCTATCCATTAAAATGGGTTAGCTGGTTGGTACAAGTGTGTTTGGGGCAGGTAAGGCCATAATCTCTCTCATTACAATGAAGATGCCATTGGCCCGGTTGTTTTTCCAAAGTAGGGGAAAAATCAGTCAGACAGGTTAGAAAAACTTGTAAACTGCTATGCCTGTACCATGTGCCACTCATCTCCTTTAACATCCACTCTTTGTTAATTTAAAGAAGAATTCTGGAAAAATCAAAAACTTACCCTCGCAGTGGGGCTACCCTGCACTGCAAGGATTAAGTGCTCATTTTGTCTAGGGCGCTCATATTAAGTAGTTTCACTCACCTGATCCTCAGTGCCATGGTGGTCAGCACTCAACACTGTCCCCCACCGCTCCAGATAAAGAAAGTCCCTTGGTGTCCGCGTCTAATGCAAGTCAGTTGACCTGCATTAGACCTCATGACGTTAGCGGTCCTTAGGCAGCAGGTGAGAAGAGGCTGTTGGGAGCCAACAGCACCAAGGATCAGGTAACCAAGTATGTTTTTATTTGAGTCCCCTAGACAAAATTAGTACTTAAAGTGACATTAAAGTCAAACTTTTATTTGCCCCTTCCCAATCCTGATGGAGGGACTTACCTTAAATTATGCCTCTTGATTCGATCATCTTCTTTACTGTCCTTTTCAGCTGTCCCTCCAGCGCTGATGTGGGTCTCTGATCCAGCGCTGACTCCTCTGCCGTCCCACAGGGTCTGTGCGGGTGCACGCTGCTCCATAGACTTACCTTGTGTCCTCGTCTCCCGGGCCGAACATCTGAAGTGCGCATGTGACTGCTCCAAGATCTTTTGCGGCCGCCCGAGACTCTTCAGATGGGACCGTGGGGCGAAGACGCAGATAAGGTTAAACCCTTTTTAAAAGGTGTTTTAAAAAAAAAAAATTTGCATAGATCTACTGCTTGCTAGCAGTGCATATATGCAAAAAACAATGAGGGTTTAATAACCCTTTAACTCTTGTAGTGTGGGAGTAGACCCACTGCAAAGGTAAACGTTTGATTTTCTCAGAGTTATTCTTTAAGCAAGAACAATCCTCAAGGCTAAATGTTCCTCTTTTTGGACCTGCAAGGGGCATTGGTGCTTAGAGTTGTACACATCTTCACTGCATGCCCAATCACCTTTTACAAATTAGATTCGTTACGTTAGCCATGTAACAAGTGTCATTTGAATCTATATTCTACCATTATATATGGGATGTGATCCCTACCAGAAATTTAAAGGATATTAGAATTCATCAAGTTAAGTGGTCTTAGCCAGGTTAAGCCAGAGGTATTTGGAAGAGGTGAATTGTAATTTTATTAAAGAAAACCTATTAAAAACCTGGGCAATTCACACTAAAGCTAGCATGAAAAAGGTAAGAACAGGTGTTACCTTTAGTGTAAATTGCAATAATCTGTGCATCCCGAGATATAAACAACTTGTCACACTTGGCCCTTCCACATCTTGCCTCCCTAGTCTCCCTATATTCATCTATAAGACTGCCCATCACAATAAAGGACCAAGAGGGAGACATAGGAGGGGGCAGGACCAAGCTCACCATTTACCAACATAGTCAAGCTTTGCATAGAGCTGCCTATATCTGTGGATCTCCTGATCGCTTGTAGAAGCAATGTAGAATGAAGGTAACCTCTGCTTATGCATTTGATTCATCCTATGTTCAGCTTGAATAACCTGGATTTGTGACAGGACCTTTAAAGATGAACTCTGCTATGCAGTGTTTGCATCAAAAATATAAACATAACTCCAAAGACATTAAAAAAAAATCTGTGACGTGAAAAATGTATGGTTTCTGTGGCCCTAACCTATATTCATATGTGTAAAAGGTTATTTAAAATCGCATGTGACTGCTGTTAGCTTCTAGTCATGGTAAAGTACAGTGTCATAGGTTAAAAAAAAAATCATGTTTTTTTTTAGGAGAGCAGCTAATTGGCATTTTAGGAGCCCTTCCAGCTGCAGGAGATAAAGGACTTGGTTATATTTAGAGATTTAAAGAGCTCTGCTTTTAGAAACTACTTAAAATGTATGGGTATGTTTAGACTGGCTTTCTTAATTCAGTGCAGGGGAGTATTATGAATGGGCATTCAGGAAAACTGTTCCTTTTATATTAACTCTATAGGCCTGTATGCCCCATTAAGCCTATTGGGAAGAGCACCAGAGGAGATTGCAGTGCTTGATGGAAGGTAGGTAAGTAACTGCTGAGGGGGCTTAGGGGTAATGCAATTTGTGGGAGTGGGAAGTTAATTTGTGGTACCACCTACTGACATGGCTAAATTTGTTCGTAACCTTTCATGAAAAAAACCCCCCACAATAGTGTATGAAATACTTGAAACAGAAAAAAAGTAATTGCCATCCATCATTGTTTATTCCATAAATAATAAAAATCAGACTTTGCATTAAATTTTTGGTTCAATTGAATATTTTAAATAATAACACAAATGAAAATGGCATGGACAAAAATGATGGGATGTTTAACATAACATTTTGTTGCACAACCTTTGTAATCACTGCAAACAAGCGATTGCTGTAGCTCAGTGAGACCTCTGTACCTTTCATCAAGTAGTTTGGCCCACTGTTCAGGCAAACTGCTTTAGCTGTCTGAATTTTGAAGCGTGCCTTCTCCGGACTGCATGTTTCGGCTCCTTTCTTAGCTGTTCAATAGGATTATGATAAGGGCTCATAGAAGGCCATTTCAGAATAGCCCAATGTTATGTTCTTAGCCATTCTTGGGTGCTTTTAGCTGTGTGTTTTGGAACTGTAGTCAGAAGAACACTAAGCTGCATGGAGATGTTTAATAATACAAGGTTTACACCACCATAGTATCTCTCCCACTCCAACGCCTCTCATGCGTTTCACCAACTGTGTTTAATCATAGAGGTGAAATTTCTTATTCTTCCAAGTGCTTATAAGTGCTGACTAATGGTATGGTGGTGCATACCTTGTATTTTGAACTTTGCATGGAATTTACAACAAAAAGTTGGATTTTTATGGACCTCGGTTTCGTGCCACTGATTGGAGAGCTATTGTTTGACAAGTGGGAGCACACTGCAGCCAGCACCCGATGTCTGTATTGATCTGCAGTCTGGTGGAATTGGAATGGTGAGTCTTTTGCTTTTTTTGGATATTGCATGGAGATGGTCTTATGCTTTACCTTTTGACATGTTGGCCTATCATTTTCTGATCGCCTCCAATAACACTCTCCTTTGCTTTTTTTGGTCCATGTTCAGAGCGGTGCACATCATGATAACAAACAGCAGAGTAACTACTTTTCTCCATTTTAAATAGGCTGACTGACTTATTACAAGATCGAATGTGTGATACGAATGACAGCAAACAGTTTCAAATATCACTATGATCCAATTAATCTCTCTAGGGGTAATAACAAATCTGTCCATTTTAGAATATCTTTGTAGAAAAAGCAATAATTTATCTCTTTTTCACACTTTCAACGCTTTACTCTGGCATACCTAAGGCATGCAGGTTGTACAAGAGACGATTGCTTTTAATTTCATTACTTTTCAGGAGAATTGAAGCATTATTTGAATGAGCTATAAGGGTACCAACAAATTTAGCCGTGTCTGTATATGTAA